GACGAGCTCAAGATAGCATCTTTGTTGACTTCGTCATGATCTTCCTGGATAAAAAATATTAAAAACATTCATCTTGTTATCGTAAACCATCGACGAAATAAATATAAGACAGAACTTTGTAATAAATTTACCGGATCATTTGCGTTTCTGTACAAATCGTAGGTCTGCTTCAATTTTCTCTCTCTTAGATTAGATCTTTTCATGAATATTTTGTCCTCGTATTCACCTATGGTTAGCATGAATCTCTCTATTCTTTCGAAATCGACGTATCCACCTAATTTGTCTTCCGCCTATTTTCAAATTCCACCGTCGGATATGCATTTTGCAATTTAAATTAAAGTTTATATAAATAGTTACCTACCTTTTGCATGTCGACCAAATAACCTCCGAAACGTTGTAACTCTTTCTTGTAAACATGTATCAGCAAATCAAGACAGCCCTAGTGACCAACATCGAACGATATTTAAAAAAAAAAAAAAAAATTCAAAGTTTAACATATTCGATAAAATTGGAAATTTCACTTGTAATAACAGACGAAAGAGAGAAACCTCGTTGGTTCCAAAGGTAGGCATACGTGGAAGAAAATCATTTCCAAGAAAGAAGCTAATAAAGATGAAATCGTCTATAACCCTCTCGGCATCGTATTCACATTTTCCCGGAATAGAAACTTCCAAATCCAAAGCTAAATATTCTCGAAGTATACGTATATTCAGAAACTGCATCAATAAATAATGATGTTAAGGGAGGGAGAAAAAAAAATACAATCTTTAACGTAAAATTTTGAAGTAATATATACCTGACACACGTTTGTTCGATCATCTTTCGAAATAGGTTCCTGGAATAAAAAAACAATTTCTTTCACTAGATAAAAAAATAAAAAAATGACGGGGACAATTGTAGATAAAAAAGTCAAACCTCTCGAAGAATCGAAAAATGGATTTCGTGCGTGGCCAGTGCGAGCACAATTAAGTCCGCATCCTGCATTATTTAACTCTTTAATTTTTTAACGAAACTCTGATCCTCGTAATTTAAGAGATGATATAGAATGTAGCAAGTTTTGTCGTGTGAAAAAAATTACCGTTCCGTACACACAGTGAGTGGTGTTTGGGTTATACCCTGGAGATGAACGTTGAGCTCGAATAAACGACATGATCTTGTGTTCGCCCTCACCGGGGACTTTTTCATCTGATAAAATAACCTGCCAAAATAAATAATAATGACGATCGTTTTCTTTATTCTGATTATTAAATATATAAATAAATAAATAAAGGTAAATAGACAACCTTAATGTTTTGCCAAGCTGGATTATCGCTCATCCGCAGGGTTATGTAGCTTCGAAGTTTCTTCGAGAGAATGTGCAAAAATTCTGTGCCGGGCGCTATACCATCGAATTCCGATTCTATTTCAGGCAAAAGGGCTTTTCCTTTCTCTTCAAACTGTTCCCTCAACTTCCCATTAATTTTCTTCTGCACGCGAAACAAAATTAAACATTCTTTTTTCTCAGTATATATACATATGAATGAATGAGAGAGAGAGGGAGGGAGGAGGGAGGGAGAGAGAGAGAGAGAGAGAGAGAGAGACTTTTATTTGGTCAAATTTTTCCGTACGAAATAATTCAAGCCTCATCCGAGTCGACTTGGCACGAGGAGCTACACCATCTGCAGTCGGTTGTAAAATACAGTGGACAACAAAAAAAAAAAAATGACGATAAACGATGACTGATAATGTAAAAAGTTAGCACAACCCATCAACTCATAATTGCTTCAATTATATTCATATGCATTTATTTAATTAATCTAACAATATATAATAATCTAAATATAGTCCTATATATATCTTACCGATGGCCAAGAATAACAACTTCTTCGGTTTGACAATGTCGAAAAGACGATCAATATGCTCGCACACGCAGCTAAATATCTCATCGAAAGTTTTCACGCCAAGCAGTCCATACGGCTGACCAAATTTCATAACCCAATTAAAAATTAAAAATAAATAAAGCAACACCAAATTTCAATCACAAAACACACCATTTCATCATAATTATTACTCAAGAACATCCCTTCACATAAAAACCTACCACCTGAGTAACCACTGGCAGAACCAGGATTTTAAGTTGTGTGGTAAAAAAAAATTATGAGGGGTCTATAATGCATGATTTTTTATTTTTTTTAAATCTTTACATAAAATATAGGGATTCGAGAATTGATGTAGGTGGGGGTTTTGACCCCCTCTGGACCTATGCTAGCTTTTCAAAGACAGCTTTCCAAACCCATCTCAGCATTTTTCTTGATATTTAGTCAGTAAAATTATGTTCAAGCAGCACAATAATTTCAAGAAAGCAAAGAAGAAAAAAAAAAAGATCAAATTAAAAATATTAAAGTAGTAAATAAAAATAAAAAGAAAAGGGAGAAAAGATACATCGTTGTCGTAAGGGCAAGAATCGTAAATAATTCGGTTCATGTCGAGATAAAAATTGTCGAAGAGCTCAACTTCATAATTGAGTAAAGATGTGCGTCTCTCTTCCAAATTGCCTGATAATATATCTGGGTACTTGTTTATCAACCACCAGAAAAATAAAGGCACCCCCATTTATTTAATAATATATAGAGATCGATCACTCAACACAGCATTAAAAAAAAAAACTTGAAGAAGAAGAATAAACAAGAAGATCAATCCTAGTACAAGTTCTATAAATAAACTCGTGGGAACGATCCGACAAGGCTTCTTTGGTGGCAAACACAAGTTTTTTCTCCGTAAATGGGAGAGAGAGAAAGTAAAGTAGGAATCTTGAAAAACGAAAAAGAAAGCAAGTCAAATTCTTTGCTAAATGATGTTTAAAGGCTGAGTAAAAAGTAAAATGTACCTTTTATTGTAATATTTTATTATTACTTGTGGACTAAGTATATGATTGCTACGTGTATTTCTCTCAATTATAGATATCCTATGTTAGTATGACTAAGGCTTTGTAATATTCATGTATAAATACATGACCTGAGTGTGAAATAAGGAGTAGCATTCGGTCTTCAATAAAAATTCCTCATTTCCTTTGCCCATCAATTCATGTGTTATAAGATAAGATATTAGCTTAATTAATTATATTTTATCTTCTGAGCTAATAGGGTTTTATTCTATAACACTTTGTTATTTTCAAATAGCAAAAAAACTCCAATAATAAATAAATTAGTAAAACCCCCCTTAAAATTATTTATATAGCGCACTTGATTTATTATTCATTTAAGTGTTGACTTCATATAAAAACATATAAATACTTTTGGGATTTGAAGTTAATAAATTCTTATATTTCATAAATAATTTAATTATTTTATTTTTATTATATTTTAATTAGAAAAGTACAATAGGCTATATTATTTCTATTTTTATTGTCAGATAATTTCAGTAAATTATCCCTATATTAAAAGAAAAATTAAATTATATTATTATGTATTTCTTTATTTTGTATTAAAAAAAACATATACTTAATTTGATTACCAAATTTTTAATAATTTTTCAATTAAATTGTATGCAATTTGTTAATAATATTTTAACTTCTAAACAATCAAATTGAAAAGAAAATATATATACATATAAATACATTTTGAGGGACAATTTCGTCATTTCATGCCAAAAAATCAGCTACCAGCCGCATATCCTGCGAGTGAGCCTCACGCAACATGGGAGGGTTTTGCTAATTTATTTATCACATGAGGGTTTTGCTATTTAGAGATTACACATATGTACTTTTTGCAGTTTACTCTTTAAAGGCTCGATAAATAGATTAAAAAGTTAATAAACTAATAACCAATTTCATGAAAATAGTATTTATTTGATATTAAAATAATAAACTTTAATCTTAATTATTTTATTATTTAATAAATTAATATGTTAATTGTTAAATTTCATGCATATTAATATACTAAATATCTATTAAGAAAAAAAAAAAAAAAAAAAAAACTATTTAGCTAAAGTCTAAAATGCACTAATCGGATAAATAACTAAAAATGTAGAATATGTTAAATTAAAGTTTAATTTTAAAAATATAAAATTGACCCAATAGATATAGTGAAATGCTCTTTACGGTTTCAAAATTGCTATTTACCGTTCAAAACAAAAAACACTTTATCTCTCTAAAACCCCTAAGACTCTCAAATTTCTCCGAAATCCCCCATTCGAAAATTTTCAGAAAAAAAAAAATTCGAAAAAAATCGAATTCAACCAATTTCATTGCTTGGGTTTGGATTTTTTCAGGTAATTTCGACTCCTACTTGTGTTATATGCATTAGGTAACTCGATTTTGCAACCAATTTTATGTTTAAAAGCCCTACGAATCGATTTGTAGGGTTTTTTTAATTTTCGAAAATTGTTTTGAACGCCCATGTCGGGCGCCCGCCGCCTGAATAGACGCCCAAAGTGGGCGTCCGTTCAGGCGCCCGGCGCCCGACTTGGGCGTGTAATGCATTTCTGGACGCCCGGTTTGGGCTTTTCCCGGGCAAATCGGCGCCCGGTCCAGGCGTCGGTTCGGCCGAGAAAAGCCCAAACCGGGTGTTCGATATTATTTTTTATTTCTTTATTTTTTTTTTCTGAATTAAAATAATTTAGTGAAAAATAATTTTTATGTTTACAGGATATCTAATGTTCCGATTCCGCCTCCTGTCCCGATGGGTGGTACTTTCGGTGGTTCTACTCATGTCCCGAGGATTTTCGTTTTTTAGGCAAACATTATGTTTAATAAAATATGTTATTCAGAACCTGATTTCCGTTTTTATTATTATTATTATCATCATCATTACTCATTATCATCATTATCATCACTTATCCTCCACTATCATCATCATCATTATCACTTATTCTCATCCTCCTCCATCATCATCATCACTAGAACATAATATAATAATAATAATAACATACAATGTCAACACTAACACATTCATTCCAATAAAAAAAAAACTAAATCAAACACTAGTTAGAATATCCTACGCTTCACGTCGACTCCGCAACGCCTGTGGTAGATATGTAACACTATCATTGCTATACCTCGCCCATTGTCTATCAAACGGAGGAAGCGGACAATTGTCATTCATCTTCACATACACAAAGTGGCTTCCACATTCAAGAAATAGTATAGTCATCTCGTAAGATAACTGTAAAACACCTTCGGGAGCCCAAACTGGTAAATAAGTCTGATTGCCCAAACTGCTAGCCGACAAGACCAACGCGTTGTAATATGTTGCCACAACCACGCCCACGTCCGTGATAGTCATCCACTTCTCATATGGTGCTGGGGCGTTGTCCCAATAAGCGACACTCGCCAACACCCGATATACCACCACCGAAATAATCCTTAAAGAACTCTCCGTGTCTTCTAATACAGTTATAAACATCCAATCTAACCTCCATCCAATCATCCTCGTGGTTCTTCACTGCACACGCGACGCTTCGATAACCACAATTACCATCCCTTGAACATCCGTCCACGTCACAACCTCCGGAACAAAGCAGAAATGAAGTTGTCGCATTCAAGGGGGTCAGGGAATTTGACCCATTGCGGGTCCACTCACGGTCGATGAACGACCACGGCCACGGTTAGATCTCTCAGAAGATGAACCACGCCCTCTGTTGCCTCGTGATCGTCCTCGTCCAGACTCTTCACCTTCTCCCGGATAAAATGGAAACTCATGCCCTGACTGATCCATCTGTGTAGAGTTGTTCTGCGGTCTACCTCTCGGGTGGTCTAGTACTGGTGGCTCATTCATTTCCATAGCCGCGGGATGCATTCGTTCAAAAACGACATATGTCACGTCCGTGATCTCAATTTCTGACCGCTCGCGCAACTCATTCATTAACTCTTCTAGCCAGCCAATAGCCCGTGACCTGTGGTCGGGAACAGAACCAACATTTTCATCTAGGGAATCCCCGAAGCCCGAAATAAATGTCCTCCAAAAAATGTGGACATCCTCTCGTAAAACACACCACGTCGTGCATTCACCTTTGCACGAATTTCATGTCTCCACGAGAGGCCAAGACATTTCCTCATATAACAGACGCAACCGTCTATGTCTTCATCCTTCTCATCGTCCAACATCTTCAGAGCGTTATGTGTTACAATTCCACTGGACAATATTTTAAATACTGGCACATTGATCGTCTGGGCCCGAATCCTCTCTGACTTTGCAAATTCGGCTAGTATCTCGTTAAATTGATCTTTCATCTGTGAGTGATACTGTGCCCAAAATGTGTCAAAGCCACCCGTAGACGCATCCAACCATCTCTTCAATGGTTGGTCTCCACCCTAATATGTTTAGAATATGCTACGTTTCAATAAACAACATGACAGTAAGTTAAGTATATATATTTAACCACTTGTAAATAAATACCTGCCTGTCGTTGTATTACCCAAATGAAAAATTAGATCCGTCCATGATTTTACCAAATTTCTCTTTGTATACGAGCCAAGTACCTTGGAGATACTCAATCAACTCTGGATAATTCGCCTACTCGTCCATCAAAGTTGTGTAATTCCTGGCGAAATCTTCTTCAGACACTGATTTTACGAAAGTTTGCCACGTACCAAGTACAAAAGCCGTGCCACGACGCCTATTATTGCCGAGACATCTTGAAGCACGACGCCCCACATTCATGTTAATGTGCCAAATACATAAGAGATGAGGTACGGTCGGAAATACATTCTATAGCGCCTTTATAAGCCCTAACTCTCGATCAGTCACGATGGGACTAGGTAGAGTCGGAGGGGGGAAAAGTCTCTTCAGCTTTTGCAACACCCATGTGTAACGGTCTTTATTTTCATGGCGCAAAAATGCGACTGCAACAGTAAAAAATTTCCCGACAGGAGTAACACCAACAATCTCCAACAAAGGCAATTTGTACTGATTGGTTTTGTAAGTACTGTCAAGTAGTATTACGTACGGAAACTTACTTAACAATTCGACAGATTGAGGGTGAGCCCACATCAAATCAATAACTGCATGTGTTGTTTCATCAGTACGGAACCACTTGTAATAGTTATGCTCCTCAAGCAACCCAATCAAATGTTGCATCACTGTACGGTCACCCCTAGACAGTCTTTTCAATTTTGCCTTCTCATTGTATACTTGTTTCGAATAAGCATCGAGACCCAAACCATTTTGTCTCAAGTTAGCCAAAATCTTCTTGGGCAGCACATGACTTTGTGACAGATCACTAATAATCTTCGCCTCCTCTTGAGACAATGCACTCATCCCATGCCCGGACATGTATATCGGAAAATGATTATGCTTCCCGTATACTACTCTGACCTCCCATCTATCATTCCACCGTAGCTCTCTGACAATTTGAAAACTACAGTTTCTTTTTTTGCTACCGGTCCTTCTCGGGCGCGCGTCTGGGTTAGTTGATGGGCATTCTCGTTTCTCCCCGTATAGGTCACAAGTCAGAAAAATCTTTTTTTTACGACAACCTTTTTTTACTATTTTTACAAAAAGACCTCTTGCAACGAACCTCGCCCAAACCACTACCTCATCCTTCGAGTCAAACAACTGAGTAGTGGTAAAATAATCGGTATGATCAACTTCAATTGTAGACGTATCGTCCTGAAAAAAGCGTAAAAAAATTGATTAAAAAAAAACGTTTCAAAGCCAAAAGCCCAACTCGGGCGCC